GGGACCGGCGGCGCCCCCGGGGGTTTGCCGGTCCAGCCTCCAGGCCAGACGCATCCGCGGCAGCTGCCGAGTCCACCCCTTTTTGCCCAGAATTTGTTTTTCTTCATCTGTCTTGATCATTTCTCCCTGGTAGGGACCCAGCCGCCCTCAGGAGCCCGAAAGCTGCACCATCTACGCCACGGTCCAGACCACCAGGAAGGTGAGTTTGTCCCATGGGGACAACGACAAAGAAACCCGGTCCCCTCGGTTCATCAACTGGGTGCCGGGTTCCCTGTCCTGCTCCCGCGTCGCCTGACGGCAGGTTCTCCCTCTGCTCCACAGTCTCCTTCTCTCAGGAGGAAGAGGCTGGACCGAGCTTTGATTTCCACTGCCTACGCAGAGGTAATGGGCACAGGACCGGTGGGGCGATCAGCCTTGGCTGTCTCCAAAGCTCATCAGCTTTTTGGGGTTGTGGTGTCCTAAATGCCATCTGTTTCCTTCCAGCCTACGGGGGTTTCTAGAAGCTGACGCCCCCCGTTGCAGACCTCACCCCCGGTTCCTGCCGGCCTCCACCTCTCCTAGTGCCCCGGCTGCCTCGGAAGGACCTTCCCTTCCCCATGGCACTTTTCTCCTGGAGGACCCAGAGACTGCCAGCACCCACCAGGACCCTACTTGGCAAAGCCGGAGGCTTGCTCGGGGTGGAAATGGTCAGATGGGGGTTTCTACAAGGATGCAAACCTCAACTGTGCCTCGGAGACTTTTCCTGCGAGGGGAGGAAGAAAGACTCTGTCATGTTTTGAGGTCAGAAGACCAGTCAAAGGACCATGATGAGTTAAACTGCATTTGTTGCTGACCTGTTTTTCTGAACACATATGGTTTAATTTCAGAAATTTGGGGTTGGTTACAACGAGCGGTTTGGTATTAGGTGTCGTAAAATTTATTTTGAATTCTCCCCAGTATTTTGTGTGGTTTTTGTTGTACATGACCCTATAAGGATCTTGTACAGAGGTCAAATTAAACTGACAATCTCATTTTTGGTTCTCATATAATACGGTAGAACTTTGGGATCCAGTCTCGTAACATTTATAGGTTCAGCAAGAGATTCACTAATCGATTTATATCGTACAGTAATGTCATCACCATGTACTACAGTGAAAAAGAGTATAATTCCATCTTTGATGTTCAAGGTGATCAGGGTATCCGTGCCGTGGTATGTGACTACTGCAACAATCATCATTAAGGGGTTGGCCACAGCATTTGTTTTAAATTTAAATGTTAGGCCCAGCGGAGCAAGTTGCTTTTGCTGCCAAGGCATGTCACATAGAGATGAAATAGTTCCTTTGTTCACTGGTACAAGATTTGGTAACTTCGGTGTTTACTGTACTGGAGTCTGATGTGTCACTGTTGCTGTGCCACTTGCAGCAACGCATTGTGGTGGAGTCATGTTTGGCACAGTTCCCTTCTTCAGTGCACCAGAATTTAATTGCGATGTTTGAATTGAATTTTGACCGTTCTATCTCTATCAGATTGCCAGAGATCGTCATTTGGGAACTTTTTTCATATGTTGACTCACTGATTTTTCTACATTCTATTTGGGTATTTTCCCCAACTGTATTTTCCCAACGTTAGGACATAAATCCATTTATTTCTGTCCCATTTCCACACGTGTGGGTGGTATATTTCAGTGTTGTGCAGCACTACAGCGGCCAAATTTGGAGGGTTGCTGCTGGGATGTCATCCCATACTGTTTGCGTATCGAAGGAAAGCTGGAGACCATGGCCACCCTGGGTCTTTGGGTTACAAATCAAGGGTAAGATGTGGAATAATACCACAAACCCAACTTGTTGATTAGCCTTTTTTTTTAGAATTTAGGTTGTCAGATTACCATAACCAGTAAGAATAGTATTACAGTCGAAATTCATATTAATAGGACGTGTATCCACTTGTCCACCTGCAGTTTATCCAAGATTCCTGAAAGAGAGAAAACAAGGAAAAAGAACTACGCTCGGTTGTGAATACAACCGGCAAACGTCAGTTACAACGAGGATATTGATCCACCATCAGCCATGTTGGGTACAGCTGTCGCTAAAGGTGCAGCGTTGGCGTTCAGTTGCCTGAAATCCATGGTGAGCTTCCATGGCCTGTTCAGCTTTTTAACTGGCCAGACTGGAGAATTACAGGGGGAGTGTGTGCGAGTGATAATATCTCGCTCCTCGAAGTCTTTCACCACCCCATCAATCCCCGTCTGCGCTGCAGCTGGCAGAGAATTTTGGGTTGTGTTTGTGATCCGGGGTGCCCTGATTTTTGAGTAGTTTTTTGATTATTTTTTTCTCTCCCGGAAGCCACAGAGCTGCCTTTGCTGGCGGATGTTTTTTTTACAACTCCTTCAATTTCGATATCCTTCACTTAGAATCATAGAATCATAGAATCATAGAATGGTTAGGGCTGGAAGGGACCTTCAAAGGGCATCTAGTCCAACCCCCCTGCAAGGAACAGGGATATCTCCAACTAGATCAGGTTGCTCAGGGCCTTGTCCAACCGGGCCTTGAACGTCTCCAGCAACTGCTTAGATCCTCAGCAGTTTCTTCAGATATTTTCCCCCAGACTCAGTGATGGAAACCTGTCTCTGGAGGAGATGGATGTGAAATTGGGCAGGCGAGGTCGCGGGGGAAGGTGACACGCGTGACGCACACGTGTTCAGCGCCAGCGTGGGACCTCACGGGGTTTTTTTAGGTGTTAACAGGTTCGGTACACCTCAGGAAATGATTTTTCGGTGCAAATATAAGGTTGAGGCAATTGTGGTGCTTGTCTAATGAGCTTAATTGGCTATTTATAGCCTGAAATGTACCCGGGGTGCAGGGAGGGAGTGGGAACTGCCTTGTTTGTGGCTCGGGGACCTCTCAAGCGAGTGAGGTCTCACGCGGAGATGCACTTTGCAAAGTTTCAGCTGCGTGTGTCGGGTAGGGGAGAGGTGGCCATGGGCATCAGCTCTGGGCAGGCACCACCATGGGTGCCCCATGGCAACCGGAGACCAGCGATGCCACCACCTTACATTGTCCCATGCTGCTCCAGCATGAGTGGCCCTGGGAGAAGGGAGGAGGAAGAGGGGCTCTGGCTTCAAAAGATCTTCCCGAAGGTAAGATCAAGGGCTTTTCTTTGGGATTAAAATGAAACATGGCACTTTGACGGCAGGGGGGGGAGCCGTGGCAGCTCCACAACGCTCCCCTCCTGCCGGAGTCCGGCATCAAAATAGCTCCCTGTGAAACGAGCGTTAATTGGGATCATTAACTGGGGAGGGAGGGGGTGTCTGACTGCCACGACGAGGGAATTTAGGAGGCTGGGCTGGCGCTCTGCCACCGGAGCTGGGCTGGTTTACGCCATCCCAAGCCCCATCCTCTGCTTTTCACGAGTCGAATACTTCTCGCACGGTGACAGCATCCGCCTCCGCACACGGCGGTCGGCCTCGATGGGAAGGCGGCAGCGGGGGCTGTGGCCGGCTGAGTTCAGTGGGGAAAGTCCAGGCCATGGGCGCGGGGGCCGCGGTGCCAACCCTCACCAGGCTGCGGCCACTGCGTGGCAGCGGGGGCTAAGGCGGGAACGGCGTCTCAGCCCAAATCGCCGTGTATCCATGCTTCTGATGAGCAGAAGCATCTGATGGTGACGACACACAGCCGTGGGGGCTGCCGTGTTGGACCAGTTGGAGAGGGTCCAGAGGAGGGCCACGAAGATGATAAGAGGGCTGGAGCACCTTTCCTATGAGGACAGGCCGAAAGAGTTGGGGCTGTTCAGCCTGGAGAAGAGGAGGCTCGGGGTGACCTTATAGCGGTCTTCCAGTACCTCAAGGGGGCCTACAAGAAAGATGGGGAGAGGCTGGTCAGGAGGGCCAGTTGTGATAGGACAAGGGGGAATGGTTTTTAAATAGAGGGAGGAGGAT